CATCTTCTAGAGTAACAGAAACAAAAGAAAAAATAAACATATAGGACTACATCAAACTAAAAAGCTTCTGCACAGCAAAAGAAAACAGCCTCAAAATACAAAGGAATCCTATGGTCTGGGAAAACATATTTGCCAAGGATGTATCTGATAAGGGGCTAATTTCCAAAGTGTACAAAGAACTCACATTACTCAGCAAGAGGAAGACAAAAAATCCAATTAAAAAATGGACAATGGATCTAAATAGACACTTGTCCAAAGAGGACATACAGATGGCAGAGACACATGAGAAAATGCTCAATTTCACTAATCATCAGAGAGATGCAAATTAAAATCACAATGAGGTATCACTTCACACCTGTCAGAATGGCCACCATCAACAAATCAACAAGTGACGTGCTGGCGAGGATGTGGGAAAATGAGAACCCTGGTACACTGCTGGTGGGAATGCAGACTGGTGCAACTACTATGGAAAACAGGATGGAGGTTCCTCAAAAAATTAAAAATGGAGCTGCTTTTTGACTCAGTGATCCTACTTCTAGGAATATATCCTAAGAATTCTGAAACACTAATCAGAAAGAACATATGCACCCCTATGTTCCTAGCAGCACAATTTACAATAGCTAAAATCTGGAAACAGCCCAAGTGCCCATCAGTAGATGAGTGGATAAAAACGCTGTGGGACATTTACACCATGGAATACTATGCAGCTGTAAAGAAGAAGGATCTCATACCCTTTGGGACAGTATGGAAGGACCTGGAGAATATTATGCTAAGTCAAATAAGCCAGGCAGAGAAAGAAAAACACATGGTCTCACTTGTATGTGGAATCTAAAGAACTTAATAAACTGATGAACAGAACAGATTCAATGACATGGAAGCATGGATCAGACTGACGAATCTCAGAGGGATGGAGAAGGGTGGGTAGAGGGGGAGAGATTAACCAAAGAATTCATATATGCTCAATCCAAGGACAAGGACATGGTGTGGAGAGGGACTAGGGATGGGGGTGGGACGGGGTGGAATGAGTCAGTGGGGAGAAAAAGGGACATCTGTAATATTCTAAACAAACAAACAAAAAATGGAAAACTCATTCTCTACATGTTGCTTGCTCTAGATTTCTACACCCCTCTAAAACTACCTGCTTTTTTTCCATCTCCAGAGCCCTCCAGTAGGTTTTTTGTTCGTTTTGTCTTTGGTAATTTTTTCATAATTATTTGTAGGAGGATGTGTAGTTAGACACTCACTTCTTTATATGACAGCAGAAAATCAACCCTTCTTGAAATCTTCTTGTCTGTTTATTTCTGTCATACCCTAAGGGAAATTTACAACTTCAAATATTTATTTTTTGGTTTAAAACTCAGTGGTATATGGCCTCAAATTTTTTTTTTAAAAAGGCAAAGAAAATCTAAAGTAAGTAGAAGGAAATAAAAAAGACAAAAGTAGAAATCAATGAAATAGAGATACAAACAATAGAGAAAATTAATAAAGCCAAAAGTTGGTTCTTTGAAAAGATGAAACTGATAACCCCCTAGCTAAACTGATCAAGAAAAGAAAGAGAACACAAATCAATATGAAAAATGAAAAAGAGGTTATTACCATTGGTCCTGAAGGCATTAAAAGGACAGTAAGAAAATGCCATGCCCATTATTCTGACTAATTAGATAACTTAAATGAATAGACAAATACCAAGAAAGTCACAAAGTACCAAAGCTCACTCAAGAAATAGATAATATGAATAACTATCTATTAAAGAAATTAAATGTGTAGTTGTAAACTTTCTACAAAGAAAAGTACAGGCCCAGAGGGTTTCATTGGTAAATCTTACTAAGCATTAAAGAAGAAAACAGTACGAATTCTACACAAATTCTTCCAGAAAATAGAAGAGAAGGAAACATTTCTAAATCTAATTAGTGAGGCTAGTATTAACTTTATATGAATACCAAACAAAGAATTATAAAAAAGGAAAACTATATACCAATATCTCTCATGATTATAGATACAAACATCTTTAATAAAAATTAGGTAAATTCAATCCACGAATACATAAAAAGGGTAGTACATCATGACCAAGATTGGTTTGATATTTGAAAATAAATTCCTGTAAAGTATTCTATTAACAGAACAAAGGAGTAAAACCATATGATCATTTCAACAGATTCAGAAAAAGCCATTTGATAAAAAAATACCATTTATAATAAAAAAGTTTCTGGAAACTAAAAATAGAAGGAAACTTGCTTAATCTGACAAAGGCCATCTAAAAAACCTATAACTAACATCCTACTTAAAACACTGAGTGCTTTCCCCCAGGTCAACAAAGTCCACTCTTACCAGTTCTATCAAGGCTGCACTAGAGGTCCTAGCCAGTAAAACAAGGCATGAAAAGACAGGCATAAAGGTCAGAAAGCAAGAAATAAAACTATCTCTATTTGCAGATGAAATGATGGTTTATACAGAAAACTTTATAGCTGAATGAAGTTTCCCACTTAGGGAAAATACAAAACAGGAAGAGACGAGAGCATCTTGGGGAATGCCTTCATTTAAAGGATGGGTAGAGGATTAAAAACCATTGGAGGAAACTGAGAAAGGAGACAATTATATTTCATAAGCTCTTTACAAAGCAGGGAATTGTGTCATACATTGTAAAAAGATTTACCTAAAATAACTAAGATTATAAAAATATTGAAGCCTCAGCAATCTGAAATATTCACTCATATTCAAACCTTCACAATAAGGGAGAACTGAAAAACTGTCATATACAAACTTAGCAATACAATCACTATCTGCACCAGACAATCACAGTAGTAAATGAATCAGAATTTCTGGACCAAGGTGTCTAAATAGAACTTAGAGCTGAGATGGTTATAATGAGATGACTTGAAATGTATACTCATTAAAAGTAATTATGCTATTCATGACAAACTAGATAATGCTTATAACATGAGATGTTGAACTTCAAACCTAAAATAACAGTTAATTTTAGATAAAATCTCAACAAAGTAGAGAAGACCATTATGTATCTTTGCCTATATTTTCAGTAAGTAAAAAAGTATGTTTAATGTCTTCTTTATCAAATAATAAAAACATATAGATTTTTGGTTCTTGGGCTGCAGGCTTTTGCATCATAACATTCTAGCCCTAATTCAAAGTGATATAATAAGTTTCCTAAAATGTTATGAAATGCAGTTTTATGAATATTATTTTCTTTAAGTTAGAGGGTTTTGCTATTTTTTTCCTTAATATGTCATAATGATTTTGATAAGACTGAACTAAAAAGCAAGATCAAACTGTTTCATTGAGTTTTGTTAACATAAGCAATTAAGTCTCTAAGTGGTAGGGCCACTGCAGGATGGCCTCAAACTGATGGGTAATCTTCTCTTACCCACTTTTCAAGGGCAAAATTGGCAATGCTTCCACAGTGCCCAGCTACATGCGATACCGGTTCTGGTGGGCAAACCTCAGAGTAAGGCAATAGCCCAAGATGAAGACAATTTTCCCTGCACTGACTTCAGCTCCCAGCCCAAAGTGACTAATATGAAAAACCTTTGTTATATGTTAAAACACTGATTCAGAGAGTCTACCGCAGACTGAATTAGAGTCTCTGGGGATTTCTATTTTTAATTTGTCCAGACTTTTTTATCATCAGGTAAAGTGTAGGCACTCTATCTTAATTTGCTGACCAGCTATTTTGAGCCAGAACTCACCCGTGCTGCCAGCTACTTTTCCATTGTGACCAGTTAGCAAGATGTTTAAAATTACTTAAATTAATGTAAGTGCAGACACAAGTTATCTCATGACTGGTCAGCAGCCCCATTCAGACACAGAAACACATGTATACTCGTGACCCGTCAGCAAGGTGTTGAACTTTCTCAAATATGAGTTGCGATCATTAGGGGTAAAAACATCAATTTAGTGGATCACTATCAGAAGGTTTTAAAAAGTAATATATGAATATAAAAAAATAACAGTGCATCACAAAAATAAGGAAAAGTATTGTTTTGTGAAACCTTTGTTTTAATTATGGAAATGTGTATAGATGTATATTCTATAAGCATGCAATTATATATGTTTATATACTTATAAACATTTATGTATTATGTATGGGGTGACAAAGTAAAATGTATTTCTTATCTTGGGCAGTAATCAAAAAAGGTTTGACAGGTACTACTAGAACACAAGGAAAAAATGTGGAACTACAGAAAAGAAAACTACATGTATTTCCTGCTTGGGAGCAAAAACACTAAGACCTTTTGGTTTGTCATACTGACCTGATTTTATACTGTTTTTATGATCATCAATAAATTGGACAACTCTTACTAAAACAATTATTTTATTATGGCAGCTTTAATAATATTTCATCATAATGAGATGAACACTCTGAATCTCAGACCAACATTATTTTCCATTAAACTTCCTTAGTAGTTAGAAAGTGGGTATATTTTTGTTAGAGTATACAAAAAAGGGAATTTACCCTGGTTTCACACATTAGTTACTCAACCTTGGCATTACTGACACCTTGGGCTCTACAATTCTTTGCTGTGGGAGCTGTCCTATGCATTGCACAGAGATTGCATTAACAGCATCCCTGGCACTAGATCTACCCTTTCCCAGTAGTGACAATCAAAATGCCTTCAGATATTGTTAAATGTCCACAGGGGACAAAATCAACTTGGTGAAAAACTACTGCTTTAATAGAATAATGCTTGACTATACTGCCTTAAGATACCATGAATACTCGTAAGATTCTTGCTTCTCTTGCTTATGGTACAATTATCATAAGTAGAACACAATCTGTAGACATCAACAGGGTCTATTTTTAAATTCTAGAAAATATAAACACACATGTATCCTCTTTCTTTAGGATAATTATGACCATGCTACTTTTGGTATGTGTAGAGGATTTGGAATTATTTTTAAAATGTGACATCTCCCACTGATTCAAACAAATAATTCTACAACCCACTTTGATCTACAGAGTCAAAGATTAAATTAAATTATTTTACCTTTAGGGCTGAAATTATAGTTTGTTCAGCTGCTGGTGGGAATGAGCTCTGACTGGAAACCACCTAAAACAAAGTTTTGATACAATTATATTTCTGTTTAAGCCATTTATTTATTATTTATTTAATCCTCACTCAAGGATATTTTTCCATTGCTTTTTCAGAGAGTGGAAGGGGGAGT